TACCTTGCATACCAGTTATAAAATTACTATAACAGAGTAAAAAAATGATAACAGTATATAACACAGAGCTCATCTGCCATTCACTATTAGGGTTTAACTCTCTCTCCATATGATTTTCAGCCGTGTTTTCTCTGGAGAAACCTCTATGAGATTTCCCAAGTGGTGTGACATGTTATACTAAAAAAAAATCAGGGTCTATAACTTATTCTAAGTGTGGGACACATATTGAGAAAGTAAGAAAATTACAGCCTGAAAAATATTCCAGTTCTGTTCCCAGCTGATAAGCTGGTCCAGCTCAAGGCTAGGGAGAATTTCTCCCAAGGTGATCATTTGGTCAAAATAAAAAGGAATTAATAACAAGATAGAACACCTGTTGTGGTGTGTGACCAGGCCCTGGCAATAGGGTGTCTTCTCTCTGAACCAATCACCTTTTCTCTACTCTTGGAGTTGCAGTCATGCTATAAAACCAAGTGTGTTTGTGAATAAACTTGTCTCTTTCTTCCTGTCATGAAAGATGACCATGTAGCTGTGCATCTTATTTCCACCGCACTTAAAGGGTTAAAACCCCTTTCCACGGCTACATTCTAAGAACCAGGGAAAGGAGCCCATGGCACCCACCGTTTTCTTCCACAGTGGCAGTGCACATATTTATTGTGGGGAAGTTAACAGGCCATTGAAAGAAAGGGTGGAGAGTGAATCCCTGGGCAGGGATGGAAAGTAAAACCCTGGGGAGTAACCTGTAGACTGATGGAAGGAAAGAATGAGTGAGGCTGTCAGAGACAGGTGAGAAAAGCTTGAGCAGGACAAGCTGAGGAGAGCAACTAAACCTCTGGAGAGCTTGGGGAAAGGGTGTGCCGGATCCTCTGCTTAAGTTAATACCAACTTGGTTGACGTTAATTGCAGGCTGTCATTACATTGCATTATTTTCCACACCACAATAACCTCTTCTCTGACCAATCCAGTCCTTTCCTTTTGCCAGTTGACATGGCAAGCAGTGACTTCACAGATATGAGGCACAATGCCTGGGCACAAGCCCAACCTGGGCACAAAACCTGGGTGCCAGCTGTCCCTGGTTTGTCACACTTGAGAGGAGGTGCAGGCTCTGAACTCTGCAGGAGCTGAAATTTGAACACAGAAGGCTAATGATTTTGGTTGTCACTAAGAGCCTTACTACTACCACTATCTAAATTCTGAATGCTTACCTTTGCCTCCCTCATATTGTATGATCTACTTTCAGGTTTTAATTATAGTATTTGTAGTATATATGATATTGACATTTTATCTGGTGTTTGAAATTTTAGATTAAACCAATATAATCAATGTCTCAAGTTTTGCCCCTACTTCTATGCAAGAAACCAAGAAAAAAAATGTAAAATTGGAGAGGTTATTTGATTTACTGTTACAAGAGGCACTTTCAGTGATCAATCCATTGGTACAGATTTTTTATATATAAGATCAAAATGAGAGAAGAATATTTGTCCTCGGCTGTTGCAGTTAACTTCCAATGACTTCCAATAACTTTCCAATAACTGGTGTCTATCATGTCTATAGATATACCCTGAATTAATAGCCATGGGAATTAATAATGAGATGTCAAGACCAGCTTCAGGTTTTTAAAACTGAGAAAAACAGACAAAAATGCAATAAATGAATAAATAATGCCTTTGGCATTTCCTTGAAAATTTCCTCTTGGAAATGAAAGTGCTTTGCTTTAGTGCCAGCCAAAAACTGTAGTCCCTTGGTGTATTCCTGATACAAATTAACAGTAAAAAAAGCTGCTAAATTTCTGTTATTAAAACACTTCAAAACTTGCTTCTGGGGTTTCTTTCCCCTCATACAACTGTAGGTGAGAGCTTGCTCCTCCCTACCTATGTAAGCTCTTTTCAGTGTTTTGTCTGGGACACTGAAAAGTCCTTGAACTACTTTTTTTTAATCTAGGTGAACCACTTGAAGCATGAACATGTTTGTAATTTTTGTGATACTTTCATCTACAGACATGATTCTCCCAGCAATCGGTAAAAAAAAAAAAAACAAAAACAAAAAACAAAAAAAAACCTGATAGCTTTCAAAATTTCATAAGCCACCTAACATAGTGACCTGAATTTCTTCTGCACCTGTTAATGTTATTAACAATTTTATCCGCTCCTTGGGATGGAGAGGGAGGAAGAGAGAGGCTGTAAGGTTGAACGAGCTGAACACTGGGACATGTCTGACCGTCCCTAGAGATCAGAAATCTCGGTCTGAGCAGTAGCAGTCACGACAACTCCAGAACATGAAAAGGTTTAAGCAAAACGCCTGGGCAATATCTTTTGAAGAACACCTTGAAGTGCAACTGGGACAGCTTTCTGAACAAGCACTGTGCACTGCTAAATGCTCAGTGGAATAACATACTCAAGTCTGACATGCCTTGCTTTGGTCACAAAGATTATGAGAGTGAAAATTAAAAACTATCTTAGAAGGAAAAGGAAGTGTTAGATATTAGCACTCTGCTTAGCAACAATCCCGGTAGAAAAGGCAGGACAAAAAAGAAAGCAGCCTTTACCCCAGTGACACTCCTAATTATCCTAGGTATGGACACCTTTGTCACCTTTACCACATGAGTACAAAAAGCATTGATTGCCCCTTCAGGAAGCTCATCTCTTTATTCCCTTGCTCTTATAAGTCCCGTGGAAAACAAGAAACTCTCCCCAAATGTTTCAAAGCAGCACGAGAAGATCCTGACTTTGTGTCACTCCCCGTGCAGAGCTGGGTGCAGCTGAGAAGGGAGGCAAGCTCTGCTCCTTCTGACCACCACAAACAGCCAATTGCTAAAGGCACCTGCACCCTGGCTGCTTGTTGGGTGGCTTGTCTAATTGTGTAAGTGAGACCAGAGTATATTTATTTAATACAGCTAACTGGCCACGTAAACAAAAAATCATTTGCCTTCTCTATGTACAGATGAATTTATATTCATTATGTGTACTGGCACAGAATAAAACAATGTTCTATGGGCAGGAAATGCAGTATTTTCTGTTCTCCTGGTTTGCTGAAGCATAAAGACACAGATTTAGAGTATGTAAACAGCTTACTACTGCTTAGGAAGATGTAACTTCATTAAACATCCTGGACATTTTGACAGAGAACATGTTTCGTGCTATAGCAGGCCAAACTGTTGACTTAAGTACCCCAACATTGCCATAGCAAGCTTCCACCGATTTCAACCCAGAAATCCAATCCAGATGACACTCCATAAAGAAACTATTTTTAATTTATTTTATAGCACTAAATAAGTGAGGGTGTGATCTATTTAGAGCTAAACAGAAGTGAAAATAGGGGCTGAACTGGAAAAAATTGAAAGAAAATGACGCCATTCAATTCGGTAGCACCTGAATGGAATATTGTATCATACTCTCCTATTCTTTTACGGAAATATGTTTAAATGCATAATTACAGGGTAGGATTTTCATAAGAACTCAAGGGAGTTAGGTTATGGCTGTGATCCTATTTTACACTTAGAACACCTTCCTGAATTTGTGTCCTTCCCCTGCTTCAGCAGAAATGATAAACACAAGCAGACACTACTGAACTGACTCTTGCAGAAATGTACAAGGTAAAACTGTTGCATTTTACCCAAAGAATGTCCTTTCGGCCTCTCCACTCATGATAGTTTTTGAGGGTTTTTTGCTCCTTACTCCTGAGGCTCCCTCACCCCAAATTTTATCTCCCAGGTCCCTCTGGCTAAATCCCCCACTGAGCAGCAGCCTTCATTCCATTCTTTATGATGGACATTTTTTTAATTCATCAGCTACCTGCACTCTGGTAAACTGTGAAGAGGCTAAAGCTGAGGGTGAACTGAGGGAAAATGATGTATATACCACGTGTTGGACTGGAAATTGTTTTTGCCAAACTAGTAGTTTTAAAAGAACTGTTCCACTAACTTTGAATAGTTTTGTCCATCTTTTACTACATTAAAGTAAGATCTATTGACCTAAAAATAGAATAAAAATAGACAGAAATCTGCCCAGAGCAACTCATCCTACCTGCAATGTCAAGCTAAAAAAGATAAAGTGACAAGAAGTAGAAATACTGTCTGTGCTTATTGTAGCATGCATTTGTTCTTGCTTTTGGAATGATTGCCCAGTAAAATTGCAAAAAGTCAATGTTCAGGAAAAAAAAGGTCTGTTAAACCTTTACTGGCAAGCCTCATACCCTTGATTCATTGCCTGTTTCTCTAATTTGTAGTTCTCATAACTCTGCGGATGTGAACAGAATTAAACAAGAATGATTCGGAAACAATGTCATAATGATCACAGACTGTAATCAATCTTTTTAGTCCTAGAAAGCTGGGACAGGACAGGCTGGCTGGCTGAAATTACTCCTCATATTTTCTATGAGAAGGCAACACCAGAGAATTGAAAAGTAGATTTCAAGGCTTAAGGCCATCTCTAGCAAATGCAGGATAGGTGTGGGAGAAGCTGGCTGCATCTTTCTCAGATGAATCTCTCAGCCTAATGCCTGTCAGTGTCACACTGAGGGGTTTCCATGCCATGCACTCTGAGTGGCCCTGTGAGACTGCAGGGCCCTTCAAGGTTATTATTCTGTTCTTTTCTCAAGATTAGCTGCCCCAATAAGCATGGAGGGAGTTCTTAATGGTGGGTCCCCACAGATGAAATATTCCACAAACTTCAGAAATCAGTGGGGTTTTTTTGCCAAGGAGTTAACTGGCATGAATTACAGTACTGAAAGACTTACAGCAGTTACCTGCCATCCATGTGCATAACTATAAAACAACACCAAATTAAATTTGTTCCAGGACCTGTTATTTGTGGAGGAGGAGTTGCATTTTATTTGCAACCATGTTACGTTTCTTTACTAGATTGAACATTAAAATGTACATACATCAATGTATTTACTCCTCCCAAAATGCAAATACCATTGGCCAGTTTCTGAGGAAGGAAGAGCATCCTCTGTTTACCTGTTCATTAGCTAAAATCCCCCAAACCTCACCTTTCTACACTCTCTGAATCAATCTGGGACTGAAGCCAAAGTCACCTGCTATATAAGAGAGACAAAGCACAGTTGAACTACGGTCCTGATCAAGTTTAGACCCAGCATCCTTGTGCCAAACTCCACTCAAGATGGGGTTTGGCAGGGGGATATTGCTACCAGAATGGGCTTTCCTCTTAGCACTTTGCTGTATCCATCAAATAGGTAAGAAATTTTCTTTTTTATTGGGAAAAGAAAAAATACTCCGTTTAGACCTAGTAATATATTTTAAACAACTGTACAAATTGATTCATATAAGAGGTGGTTGGCAAGATTTCTTTATATTTTTTCATTAAATGTTAAATGTCTGTCTATTAACTGGATCGATTTAATTTAATATTGCTGCAGACTTCTGTATATGACTACATATGGAAAGTAGTCTTGAAGATCAAATCCAAAAAATTCTTATTCGTGTCTTAAAATGTCAGATTTTCAGTATCCCATATGCCTTACAAAAGCATTTTACTCCTCTTGTATTTTGTATTAGAATTCATTATGAATATTATTGCTCTTATGAAACCTAAACTGCTACATTTTCCAGTTGCTAGATCAGACCACTGGTCAATCCTTTCCAGTATTTTGTCACCTATCAGGGGCTAATACCAGATTTCTCAACATTTCTTGCAACTTCTTTTGCAAAAGAAACCAGGAGGGAATATTCATATGGCAAGGATTTTCAGTAACTAATTTATAATACCCTAGGCAAAATATTTATATAAATTACAGATATTGAGTGTGAGCAGGACAAGGAGATTTATGTGACACCACAATCCATTATTTTGGGATGGGGTTTTTTCACCTGTCAATATTATATCCATCAGGGCTGGTCTTGGCAGTTTTTATTAATAGGAATAACCCTGTTAAGTTGATGGAACCAATTAAATTGGAGCTACTTGCAGGAGTACAAGCTTGACAAGTCAGTCCTATTCATGTACAGCAATTTTTGGCCTATCAGCTGACATTTTAAAATCTGCAGATTGCCTAGGTAAATTTATCTTGCATATAATTTTTAAAACATTGAGAAGTGCAAATATAATTTAAGGCTGCTTTATAGCTTGTGAAATACACACTAAAACACCGGCCAGTTGGTCTGTGTTGTGCTTGAAAACACAACGGTCTCGTAGAGTATAAACTCGTGTTTGGAGTTACGCAATGTTGGCCAGAAATGTTTTCAGCCATTCATGGAACAAGAAAGTTATTTCTCCTGTGCAGTGCTAATCTGACAAACTGCTTTGAAAAATGAGTGGTGATTAGACAGTGTCCAACAAACACCTCTTTATTTGAACCACGCCCTGTGGAAAATATTTTCCAATATCCGGACTAAAGAATAATGGTCCTATCCCATGCCATCTCCACAAACGTTGTGTGCCTGCCTTTATATTTCATGTCAAATATTAACTTTTATAAACTGATGACAATAATAATTGCCAGCTGGGTATAGACTTCGCAGGATGCATCCAAATATTCTTAATAATTAGGTTCGTTTCCAAATTATCAAATAGTAAATTTCTTACAACTGAGACACTTATTTTTATAATAGTAAACAACATGGCATTGTGTAATTGCTAAACAAACCAATGCAGGTAGAATTTCCTTGGAAATGATGTATTTGCTAAGTAAACAAAAGCTCCTGCTGTTTCCTTGAGAAAAATTAACAGAACAAAATAGAGGTATAGATCTATTTTGCTCTGTTACAAAGGTTCCCACACTAGAATAAACAAACCTTCTATGATTCTATGCCTGCTGAGATTCCTATGGATGTGTAATATGAAAGCAAACTTCAGCCTATTATATAGAGTTAAAGAAGTATTTCTCTTACCTGATCTGTATCAATTTTTTTCACCAATTATATTTTCATCAATTATAATCCATATAAATTATAATGATGTGAATACATTTACTTAATGTTGTTATCTATGATGCTCAAAGATAAGCAGGAAATGGAAAATGGTTCCTTTGTCCCACGTTACTTCTTTGCACATCACAAAGTGAAATGAGAACATAATTAAAAGCTTTGAGCTGAATGAAACTGCAGACACTGCAGCAACTTCTAGCTATGGTGGGGCTGCCCAGAACCCTCTTCTCCAAAGCCAGTAATCTCTTGGGGTTCTCTTTGGGATAGGGACTTGAATTCCTTCAGACAGGCACTCTTTGGCTCTGTGATCAAGTAATAAATCTGCTTACATGGAGCACAGCCAGAAGTTGTATTTAAAAAAGGGGGTCCTAATCCAATTATTTTAAAGGCAAAGATAGTTGTTCAGCTTTCATGGAGGTACATGGGCTGAGGTTCTCCAGTGGAGGAAAAGCTCAGCAGATAATGTTTAAGTACCAAAGGGGGGCTGGGCCTTATGGCACCCCCCTGGCTTCAGCATTTCCCTCTCTTCCACCGGTATGGCTCTCAGTTCACTGAGCTGGGTCTTAGGATCCAGTTCTGACTCAGTGAACTCTTCTCACCTATAAGGAAAAAGGGGGCTTAACTTAGGGCAAACTCCATAGGCAGCTCTGTTTTGGCTGAGAAATTCTCCAGACACCCACAGTGCTCATTCACATAATCCAGACAAGGGTTCAGATATCAGTCATCTCATCACTTAAATCCTGTGAGGATTTAGACTTGGCAGATTAAAGGTAGTGATTAGTCAATATGTTACAAGCACACAAGCTATCACTTTCTAACTGCATTCAGTCCTTCACAAAATAAAGTTGTAGCCCTTCAACTTTTACAGGATATGCCTTCTATATTTACTTATAAAATCCAAGACCTTAGAAGTCAAGCCAGGATATAAGGGTCAGTCTTTTTCTAGGAATCAAAGCATTCAGGAGAGTATTTATCACCTGTCAAAAGCCTTTGCTTCAGGTGTTTTAGCAAGAACCCTTGGTCAAATAGCTTTACAGAATGATGCTTAAGGTTTTCTGCAGAGAAGATATGAGTTTGAACAATCTTAGAGCAGGAAAACTGACTGATCAGGTTACTTGTGGGTCACTGCTCAGGCTCTGGCCCTTGTACTGTCCCTCAGAGGCACCGTCCTGTATCCAGCTGTAAAGCCAGTCTAGATCCCTGACTGGGGGCTTCCCAACTGCTCCCAGAGAAAAGGCCCTATGCTTAGACACTAAACAAACTGCCAGAAATAGCTGCAGCCATTACTGGATCAAGCTTGCAGTCCTTTGATTCTTTTAACCACTTCCATGCCTTTTCTTATAACCTAGCTTCTACACAACAATTCTTAATAAATAACTCGCCTGCATTTTGTGAATTCCCCCTGTGCTGTTTCACATATTGTTACTGAGATCTCTAGTGCAGCAGTGAAATAAGGGCTGTTATGCAGTCATTAGGATCTCTTACAGTGAATTTTGAGAGAAACAAAGAAAGCAGATAAAAAAAAAAATATGTTATTTGCATTACAAACTTTGTGTATTTGTAATAGAATGTCTCTTTCTATAATTATGTTTTAGCTTTCTTGAGGAGCCTGTTTCATTTTCTCTGGTGTGATAAAGGAGACTCTCCCCTTTGCTTTGCAGAGTTGTATCTGGGTCCTTTCATCTTACCTAAATGCTTTGCTTTAAAAGTTCAAGTACAGGATATTACTCTTAATATGCTTTTCACAATTTTTTCACAGGAGGTCAGATTGGAATCCAAATAGGAAGTCAGTTCTCTGGGGGTCTTCTACAAAAACAAAATGGTACATTTATTTCTACTGTATATTTGTATTTATTTGCTATATCCATACTGAATAATAAAAATGCCTTTAAAAAACCCTCCTTAGCATATTGCCAGCAGTGCCAGATGAAAAGAAATGTGTATTAACATCTCTCTCTAAGAATAATAATGGATTTACTAGACACCAGTTACTAAGCACACACACACAAAACACAGTATAGTTCTATTTGTGTAATCAGAGCTAACAAGAAAATAGATGTGTTTGTACAGGCTGTATGTATATCTGCATGAACATGTACATATAAAACCAAAGTGATATTCGGTTCCTTTTTAAAAAAGGAAGTGATACCACTTTGGTCTGCTGTGAAATCAGTGGCTAATGTTGGGAAATCAAGAAGGCAACCCATCCTTGCTGACTTTTACCTTGTAATGATTTGTGTCTGTCCTGTACAACCAATGTATGGCCATTTTGAAGGGTTTTCAGCCCCTTAATAGAAAAGTATAAAACAGAGAAAGGATGATAATTAAGGTTTTTATTCCCTCCTTAGAGGAGGTGTAATGAGAAGGCAACTATGCTTCTGTAGCAGTAAAAGGCTATTTTAGTACAGCTTAGCCCTTTGTATTGTTCTGTGCTCTGAAGAATTCCAAAATTCTAATGCAGCACAGTTTCATAAAAGGGTCAAAGTTAACATGTTAACAATGCAGATCATCACAGATGAAAACAATTTCTTATGATTTAAGTACCCTGAGTTCAAATTTCAGAATGTGCTTTTAACCTTTGTAAAATAAAACAGGCTTAACATTGTTTCCTTGGGTCTGGCATATGAACTCTCTGGTCCTTCCTGGGTCTATCCTACATGCAAATTTGGGTATTGTTATACTAGTTTTTGATTTTTTTTTCCTAGCTTCGATCAGAATTTCAGCTAACTTGAACATCATCCCACCACTGCTGACAAATCTAGCAATAACATGTAAGTAAAGGAAAAAACTTATTCAGTAAGTATTCAGTTTTAGGGGGTATAGACAGAAGACTTTCATAAAAATGGGGGAAAATGCTGATAAAGGAAGTAATGGATAATTCAGAGGAGAAACATGGTGGTTAGAAATAATCTTAAACTTGTGTTAGCTGAAATGAAGGTGACTGATTAAGCTTTAGCTGAAAATAACTATAACCATTTGTAGGAGTATATGAGTAACAGATATGAGTGAGGAATGAATATACAGCTATACAGTGGTTAGATAGAAATGGAGGTAGGCAGGGAAAAAACATTTCAGTTGACTTTCCCCATGTGAAGGCTGGGGGTTTTAAGTCGTTCTTTAACAGCCAGTTTTAATTCACAGCTGCTAACCCTGCTCACAATGGCCGTGTGTGCAGCACATGGGGCAACTTCCACTTCAAGACCTTTGACGGAGACATATTCACCTTCCCCGGGCTCTGTAATTATGTTTTTGCCTCCCACTGCAACGCTCCCTACGAGGACTTCAACATCCAGATTAGGCGTGAAGTGGTGGCAAACATCCCAACCATCAGCCGCATCACCATGAAACTCGAAGGTGTGGTGGCACAACTAACAAAGGATGCTGTCGTGGTCGATGGCAACAGGTACATTCATTCATAACACTTCGTTGGTACCCACAGGCTTTTTTTTTTTTTTTTTCGGTCTTGCCAAGTACTTTGGTGTGTTTGGGGGGAAACAATTATGTGTTCTGCAACAGATCTGACAATTTTACCAACATAAATAATGAATAAAATGCTATTAATTCCTGTCACAGAAAAGAAATCTTTCCCTTAAGGATTGCCTCAAAAATAAAATTTGGATGAAATGTTCTGAGAAGCTGGATCCAAATTTAGATCAATATTTGATAACGTTGGACCATCTTATTTTGTAATTGCTTTTCTTTCCCGAAAATACACTATTTTAGAATCCCTACAAATGGTGGATACCACAAGACTTTCCCTTCTTCTTTGGATCAGAATTTAAGTAGCATTCTTTCTGCCTTCTCCCAGAGTTCAGCTGCCATACAGCCAATCTGGTATTACGATAGAGAAGAGCAGCATTTATGTGAAAGTTGGCAGCAAAATCGGTGTTGTGCTATTGTGGAATGAACAGGACAGCATCCTGGTAAGAACTGCTCCTGGACCTGTCTACTGCTTCAGAGAACAGAGCTAATCTTTGATTAGACCTGTTTAGGGGGGTGCTACTGCCTTCTTATCTCATACTGTTGAGCAATTCTTTCTTAGTAAAGATAAGCTTATATCCAGGAAATCCTAAAGAAAATTACAAGGATTTATACCAGGCATCTGCTTAAAACAGGATTAAAAATCACTTTCATTATATCATTACCTATTGGTATTATTATAGGGCCTAATTACCTCTTCACATATATATATATTTAGCAGAATTTCGCTCTCCTAAGACTTCATTTTTTTCTGTGGATTTGATTTTCTTCCTGGAGAATCAATAGAAAGTGGCTGAGAACAGTATAGACAGTACAGTGAAATCTGAAGTCTGTGCCAATGGTATCAATATCATGGACTCTGCAGTCAAATCTAAGCTGACTCTTTATTCTTCCTGTTTGAATTAAATTGCTAAATAAAATTCCACAGCTCTGACAAGAAATACTAAGAGACAGCAGGTGCAAGTGTTTTCCCTGGTCTTGAATACACTTTAACTTCTATCAACTTACTATTCATCATTTTAGCTGGAATTGAATGAGAAATATGTCAATCAGACTTGTGGACTTTGTGGTGACTTCAATGGCTTTCCCATATACAACGAATTTGTTTCAAACAGTAAGTGTTTTAAATTAAAAAAAAAATTGGTTTATGGGATTTCCAATAGGCTCTGACATCATCAGCAGTCCTCTTTCCCATCCTTTTAAATGGTTTACCCAGAAGATATGATTCACTCTCTATTTAAAAATGTGTAATTGAGAGATCAGATAGGTAAGTTATTACTTTGAGTGTAAATATAATACTGGTGCTAACAACTGATGACATATCTCTTGCATGCCACTGTTGTACACCGTGCTGGTAAAACTAATCGGGTAAGTCCATAAAAATGAGCAGATTTTCACTAATAAGATAAATAAAACAAAAGGCAATTGTATTTTCTAGACAGCACATTTCTTGTTTCATTTTTGTCTCAAAATCAGTATATCCACATTTCCCTGCTGATTTGCAAGATCTTTTCTTTTTAACTATTCCCAGTTTGAGCATTTTTCTAAACCTTGTCTGACAACAGTCTCCATTGTCCAAATTCCCATTTAGATCACTTTTTTCTCTGTCCTGTATGGGCTCAATATAATCTGAAAAGAGTTTGTTATTTTTCTGGGGAGAATTTAGAATTTACATCTAGACGTAACAGGCTGAGAATTGTTTTCCAGTGTTTACTTTTAAACAGTAAACTGAGGCAGTGATGTAGTGCTTCCTTTGGAAGGGGTGATGATCACATTTAAAAATTTAAGGGAGCTAACTGTCATGGCCAGTATTGACCCAAATCCTTGAGAGAGAAAAAAAAAAAGATAACAGGCAGTTGCTTTGAACAAAAAACCTCTAATCTTCTAATCTACAGATATTAAGATGACAGCCTTGCAGTTTGGGAATATGCAGAAAATGGATGGGCCAACAGAACACTGTGATGACTCCACTACTATCCCAACAAATAACTGCTCTGACAATCTCGTAAGGATTTTTGACTATCCTTTTATTTTTCTTTCAAATTTATCCGTTCCCTTCTGCAACTTCATATCCGTCAGTAGGAAAAGCCCTCAGGCAACGACTTAGAGAGGGCTATAATATTCTGTTACATAATAATTACCCAAAATAACAGTACCAAACATCCCCCCCGAACTTCGTCCTATTTACTGAGACTTGCCTATTATTTTTTTTTCCTCCAAAGGATAACATATGCGAGAAAACATTGACCAGCTCTGCATTTGCAGAGTGTAACGACCTAGTTGATGTCACAGATTACATTAAGGCTTGCCAAGAGGACTTGTGCAGCACTGCAGAATCTGAGAACAGCTCATGCATCTGTGACACCTTTGCTGAGTACTCCCGGCAGTGTGCTCACGCTGGTGGGCAGCCCCTGGACTGGAGAACTTCAAAATTGTGCCGTGAGTATCACTACAGACAACCTTCCTGCATGCCCACTGACTAACAAACAGCAAGCTCTCCAACAATGCTGAGGATGCAGGAGGAGTTACAGGGCGTTCAAGATTGAATTCTTTAGAAAATTCTGGCGTGTAAGCTCCAGAATGAAGACTTCAGCAAAAGAGCTAAGGATTTTAATGCAAACTGAATTAAACACTAGCATGCATACTCTAATGAGAGTCAAAGTGCAATTTAATGAATTGGTACATTGAAAGAAGCAAATAAAACAGAAACAAGAAAGAAGAATAAGGCATTCTTACTTGCTTGCTTGTATTCCTGTTTCCTTTCCTTATGGTGGCTACAGCATTTGTTGTTCTCAATTAACTGATTGGATCTTCACAGGTGTATGGCTGGCTGGCTAATCACCTGTTTATCTCCTCTTGCTTGAAAATGATGAGTTTGTATTGATTTAAACATATATTTGATTATGGTGGGTAGCTGTTGATACTGTCACCAGCATTTTCTCCAAAACAAAAGCCCATGAGGTGCTATTTGTCCTTCTGATGGCATCTCAAAATGCAAATATACTAAAGCTTTAGGAATTTAAGTCTTTCATTTCACTAGCAGTACAGATGTTCACAGGGAAGGGAGCTCTCAGTAGAAACAGACCTTGCTGGTTGTTACCTTGCTGTCCCCAGAAATCCAGCCAGTTCAGCCCCAGAGTCATGGAATGCACATCTCAGCTCTAAAATAAGGATCTAGGGGGTTAAATTTGCAAATTTTGAGAGCTAGTGGTCAGTTTTCAGTTTGGTGTGGGTTTTTTTATATCTAGCTGAAAAACTTAAATGGATATAAATATTTACATGTATAGTGAACTATAAATACTTTTGACTGAAAAAAAAAATCTATCCCTTTCAATTTCAGCCAAGACATGTCCTTACAACATGCAGTACCAGGAGTGCAACTCCCCCTGTGCTGATACATGCACGAATCCTGAACGATCTCTGTTTTGTGAAGAACACTGTATTGATGGCTGTTTCTGCCCCCCAGGCAAGTCCTTAAGTACTCACATCTCTGATCTCAAAGAAGAAAAGCTTACCTGTAGGATGTGGGATTTAAGCCTCATATAGTTGTATTTTTCATAGCTGCAAGTGCCAAGAATTTGTCATGTGCCAGCTGAGCAAAGATGTCTGAATTAATTGCTAATACATGTACAATATTCGGAAAGCAAGAAAAAAGAACAGCAAACAGATCAAGACCAATCTTACAACCATCCACCTGTGCTACAAGTCCCTCTTTCTGAGCAGGTGGAATTTAAGAATACAAAGGTTGAATCCTTTACTCAGCAAACTGACATAGTCCTGCTGTCCTCAGCACTGGTGTGTAGGAAATGGAAATGCCTCTTTAATTGACCAAGGTTTTATTTACTTATTTTTATTTAATTTTTTTTTAAATCTAGGGACTGTATTTGATGACATCAACAATTCTGGCTGCATTCCCCAGCAGCAGTGCTCCTGTATTTACAACGGCAAAACCTATGCTACAGGAACTTCTTTTTCAGAGCCATGCCAGACCTGGTAACCTTTGTTACTTTTCTAACTCGCTATTTCCTCTCCTGTACTTAATGAGTTTAATAGTTTATTACATGCAATTACATCATTGGTAATTGACTGTGTATTTAACTGGCCATTACATTTCCAAAGCACCCTTAAAGAAGATTATTTGCTTTATTTGTAACTAGCTTTGCACTCTCTCTCATGATGATCAAAGCAAGAATTTACAATGTTTAGATTTCTCATTAGTCATTTAAAATGCTTCCTTCTTGTTTATTTTGTTCAAACAGTTGGAATTCTCTAAGGGGGATGAAGTTGTAGTCATTAATGTATTTGCAAATATTTATTTTCTCTAGAGAAAGCAAGGGATGGCACAACACCAGCTCGATTTCACAATTAATCCTTTACCTGTGCTCTACCACATCAGCTTTGAAAACAGACACAGTCTGCATCAGGAACAGATGTGGAGTTACCTTTTCTTATTTATTAGTTTATGATACATTTATATTACATGAAAAAAAAAAAAAAAAAAAGAACAAACCCAGAAGATATTTTAACTTGTCACTGTGCTCTATGTTACCTGAAGAAATCCACACAATTATTTATCCAACACCTGTTTTGGAGAAGTCATCTGTCCAAAGAAAGAAAACAATTAGATAAGCAAGGAGTTAATGGTTATCAGAGTCGTTGATTTTAATATGTTGCATCAAAATTTCAATGCATTTTGGAAACTCTTAAACCTGTGTGTCAAACCACAGCTTGAAGGGCAAAATAATAGCAAAGCAGCACTGCATGTCCTCTGATTCTGGACCCTTGCTACAGATTTAATCTAACTTTATTTTTCCAGTACCTGTAATGGAGGCCAGTGGAGCTGCCAAGACAAGTCATGCCCAGGAACTTGCTCTGTAGTGGGAGGTTCCCACATTTCCACATATGATAAGAAGATCTTTGATCACCACGGAGACTGCACTTATGTCCTCTCTAAGGTGGGGCTCAGAGGACACTTCTGGGTCACAAAGCCCTAGAGATTTATAGAAAGAAAACATGATCTCCATCAACACTTCTGAAACATAGCTCAGACATTCAATTCCCTGCCACTGAGCCACATGTTTGCAATGCTGCCATTTCAGTGACAATCATCAGTTAATTATTAGGATGTCACTGTGTGGTGCTCACTGGGAAATTTCCAGTTCTGTGAGAGAGTAATTGAAGAGCACTGTCTTTTTTAAGATTTGCTTAGTGTGCAACCTTCAGTATAACTAATCCATATTTCTTCCTGGGTTGCATAATTTTTGCCATGTTACTCTATTATATGGTATTTGGCCAAACGGTACAACTGTAAAAATTCCAGTAACTGTTCTTAAAAAAAAAAAAAAAAATTATAAACCAGACTTCTTTTTCATTTCTGTGGAGCTTAAATACAGAAAAACACTTCAAGTTAATTAACACATTTCACTTAGCTTTTAAGCGTTTTTAAGCATTTAAAAAACAACTCAAAAGAAATAGAAAATTTGGAAATTAATTATAAATAAGATATTTAATCACATAGATGTGTAGGCGAAATGTTTTGATATGCACAATTCAGTAAAAGGAAATAATATGTTACTGTTCACCTGAAACAGGTTCTATCTGAATTTTTTGTCTAGCATTGATACCAGCTACAGAAAGATGAGAGCTACAGTAGAATTGAATCAAACATTAGTTGTCATGAATAAAACCACCAAATATGAATATGTAACTCCATCTGATATCCATATGGATATAATCAATAAAATCCAGATTCTACATTTCTTGTTCCTAATAATTCAAACAGGGGCAAAACTGAATGTGCAGCCAAAGAAGCTCTAGAATTCACCAGAGTCTGTGTGTTCTCCAGAAAAAGAAATACTTTTTCAGAACTGAGAGAAAATTGCATAGGGAAAACTTCTGTAATTAGTCTTCTGTGGAATAATTTGAATAAATCTTTTTTTTTTCAGGACTGTAAAGGTGACAAATTTACCATCCTGGCAGAGCTACGCAAGTGTGGCTTAACTGACACTGAGACCTGCTTGAAGTCAGTGACCCTCAACATGAATAAAGGACAAACTGTAAGAATGCAAAATAAGCTCAATAAAAATATGGGGAGCTGCATTTCTTTGTCAGGTTTTCAGCATATGTGATGAGTAGATGATACTTTTAATCAAGTGAAAATAAGTGGATTTTGTTATGAAAATCAGATCAGCCATAAATTTGGCTTTGTGGAATTTCATTAAGAAACACATTGTACTCACAAAGGAGAAAAAAGCTATTTTCTCTGGCAATTAGATGGGGAAAAACCATGAGCGTCAAGGTTAGTAATTATGATTACAATAGTTGGGGATGTAATTAATCACTGAGATGTGTTCAAAGAAAACAAGATGATGTAATCCCCTAATAAGCTGAGAAAGTCCCTTTAAAAGTAATTCTTTTCTGGCAGGGAAAATTAGTAAAGTGTACTAAGTAGAAATAAGGGGGAGGTGAAATCACAAAGATCTACTCTTTTTATTGAATATTGGTTTGATTAATATCACGGGAGTCTTCCTGATTATTGCTCTTTGGACTGGAGTTATTTTTCACACATGGCTGGCAGCCCAGAAGGCCACACCCAAAGCAGTGTGGCCAGCAGAGTGAGGGAGGGGATTCTTCCCCTCTACTCTGCTCTGGGAAGAATCCCCTGGAGTGCTGCACCCAGCTCCAGGGTCCCCAGGATAAGAACATGGACCTGTGGGAACAGGTCCAGAGGAGGCCACAAAGACACAGGGCTGGAGCAGCTCTCCTGACAGGAAACACTGGGACAGTTGGGGTTGTTCCTCCTGGAGAAGGGAAAGCTCTGGAGAGACTTTAGAGAGGCCTTTTGGTCCCTAAAATGGACCTACAAGAAAGCTGGAGGGCACAAAGTCATATGACAAAGGGGAATGGCTTCAAATTGAAAGAGGACAGGTTTAGATTAGATATTGGGAAGAAATTCCTTACTGTCACTGTAATGAGGCACTGGAAGAGGTTGCCCAGAGAAGCTGTGGATGCCCCATCCCTGGAAGTGTCCAAGGCCAGGTTGGATGGACCCTTGAGCAGTCTGGTCTAGTGAAAAATATCCCTGCCTATGGATGGCAGAGGGGTTGGAGCTGAATTCAAAGTCCCTCCCAAGCCAAACCATTCTGTGACTCACGGAGCTGCCTTTTGTTTCTCTCCCTTATCAGATCGTCGAGGTCAAACCTGATGGTGGTGTGTTTGTGAACTCCATCTACACCCAGCTGCCCATGTCAGCAGGTAGCTTTTTTTCTCTAACAGTGAATGACACGAGTGCTTTTGAAGTAAAGTGGGATGTTTGGTGTCGTAGAGAAATGCAGGGCAAGCACAGGCAAGGGTTCAAGCAGTAGCAAACAGAATTTAAGGTCTCCTGATTTGATTACTCTCAGATTTACTTCCTTCCCACTGCACGAAAGTGTAGGCAGAAGACATCTCTTTACCTCTTTCTTTGTTACTAGCCCTGTGCTCACACCTGCTCAGAAAGAAATTTTATTTTTGTTCTCTGTTTCAATAACTAAGGATTCTATGTGGTATCTCTGACCTCCAGATCTTTTTTTCACTTCTGAATTTGCAGAAAATGCAATAGAAATTCACAAAGGACAGCATTGTGTTTTCAGCATTTGGCCTTGTTCAGAAAGTGACCATTTTGTTTCTCATGTGTAGCCAATGTCACCATGTTCAGACCCTCCTCATTCTTCATGATCATGGACACGAGCTTTGGCGTCCAGGTTGAGATGCAGTTCACACCCATGATGCAAGTGTTTGTGCGTCTGGATGCTTCTTTCAAAAACCAGACTTGTGGTGAGTGAATGAAATAAAAGGACACCTTGATCAATGTCTTTTATTGTAGTCAGAGCAGTATAAACTTTTCACTGCTTTTCAACAGGTCTCTGTGGGAATTTCAATAACATCCAAACTGATGATTTCAAGGTCATCAGTGGAATAATTGAAGGAACAGCATCAGCATTTGCTAATACATGGAAAACTCAGGCTTCATGCCCTAATATCCAGCAGAGTTTTGAGAATCCTTGTGCACTCAGCATTGATAATGGTGAGTGCTTCTTAGAATTTCTTCTGGTTTATATTTTTTCTTTTTGCTCATCTCTAAGGAAAACACATCTGTTAGAAAGCAAAGATAAAAAATAAAGACTTACATATTTGGTAAAAACATACATCTGAAATCAGAAACAAATATTCAAAATGAAAGCACTGAAGATAAGTAACAATGTAAAAAAAGAGTGACAGAGGCATAAGCGAAGCAAAGTGCAAGGTCACTGAAAATAGAGTCGATGTCCAAGCTGACAACTCGTCAGAGAAGTGGATTACAGGACCATCTTTGGAATCCTTTAATTCTTCCCCTTCAGCAAGTCCTCTTTTTTAGTTTTAGGAACTTTGACCCACAAGCTGAGTGAAAAGAAAACAAAAAAAAAAAAAAAAAAAAGACGGGAGAAGAAGAGATTTAATGGAATGTCAGAACTGTCTGCATAGGCCAGGGCAGCATGGGTGTGTGACTAATGAAGTACAAAGACTAATGTGCATTTTTATTGTTTCTTCTTTTCACAGAAAAATACGCTCAGCATTGGTGTGGACTGCTCACTAACAGCACAGGACCTTTTGCTGCTTGTCACTATGCAATCAATCCCGCTGTTTACCACACGGTACTTTGTCAGACTGCTTTTCCCTTAGGAAACAATAGAAATAGGAGCTGTTCCAGAATGTCTTATGCAATGTCTGCATCCCCATTGCTGTACAGCACTACTTCCTTCTTTCAAAACCTGTGTTTCTCTTTGTATTGTAACATTACTTTATTTCGATCGTCAGTCTTGGCTTCAAGAGCCTGACTTGTTTGCCGATGAAAAGGCAGCTATTTACACCCGGATGGTTTTACACATGAGGCTGATAGTGTATTTAAAGGCATGACAAATGCTTGTTTGAATATCAGTCAATTGTCACCTTATCAGCCTGGCATCTCATTAATCACCACTTGGAACAGAAAGCCCATTACTTTATTACCATCACTCTGCTATCAGCGCCTTGCAAATCACTCTTCTCACTAGGAGTCACTCGGTATCCACTCTGGTGAAATGATGTGTCTGGAACTGCACATTGTGAAGAGAGCTTTGGATGCTATTGTGCAGCATATCCACTAATAAGGCTCAGAGGACCAAGAAGCTGCAAAAGGCATAACAGATTTTAAGACCATTTTTTCCTAATTATAACTGCAGTAATTGACTGAATTTTCATTACCTGCATTTTCCCCTGCCAGGAACCTTAGACGAAGACCAGAAAGTGATAAAGAGTGTTACTGTTGTCTGTGAGTGAGCATATCTGACGAAGGATTAAGGAATAAGACTAGAAAGATAATGTTCACTGTTTTTTAAAGACTGACGGTATTTCCAATGCTGAGACCTTATTTTTCTCTCCATTCTTAGAACTGCATGTTTGACACATGTAACTGTGAAAACAGTGAGGACTGTCTGTGTGCAGCCCTGTCTGCCTATGTGAGAGCTTGTGCTGCAAAAGGAATCCAGCTGCAGGGATGGAGGGCTGATGTCTGCTGTAAGTACCCTCTACTATCCCATTTCCTAAGAACACACATCAATAAAAATTGCTGATCTGAGATTATTTTCTACTCATTTCTAGACAAATCGGTAAGTGATGAGGAAGGGATTTCGTTAAGTGCACTCCTGGAAGTAATTCTCTGCTGTCCCCTTAGAATAAATCCATTGCTGGCAAAAGTGAATATGAATAGATGGGAGACGTGGCTTGATTAGGAAAGGGACTGTTGTTATGGAAGTGCCTCCACCTGTTTCTGTGCAATTTAGAGTTTCACTACAGCTTTACAAGTATCACAAGTTATTGCAGAGATAATGTGTTGTGTTAGAATAGCAGTACTAGCAATACCAACCAGAACACTTGTAAATTAAGTCTTTGAAGCTGCACACTGGGTTCTGCTCACCTAGTATGTCTGTATTCAGCATACCAGTCAACACACAGGGGTACATCTTGTCTCATTCCTCAAGAAGTTTAGACATCTTGGCAATGAATGGCAGCACCAAATGGAGATTTCCTTCTGAACTTCCATTTGAAAAAATATTTTCTTCTTTGCATGCATCATTTACTCCACATGTACAGCAGCTTTTCAGCTCAAACTCTGAAATGATTCACAAATACATTTACAGGAAAGATGCAACATAAGCAGAGGTGTACAGTATTGTTTACATGTTATTTCTACTGCCTATGCTTTTTCTTTTTTCACATGAGAATTTACCATCTGGAATTAACAATCTATTTTATTTTCCTCTCTCAAGCAAAATACACCACCTCATGTCCCAAATCCCTGAGCTACAGCTATACCATCTCTTCCTGTCAACCCACCTGCCGCTCTCTGAGCGAGCCTGATGTCACCTGCAGCATCAAGTTTGTCCCAGTGGATGGCTGCACCTGCATAAATGGGACCTACATGGATGAGAGTGGCAAATGTGTGCCTGCTAAGGAATGCCCCTGCTACTACAGAGGATCTCCTATACCATTTGGAGAAGTGATCCATGAAAATGGGCGTGTATGGTAAGTGAATCTTTTTAAAAACATTTAAACAACGTGCATTTTCTCATTAAAGTCTGGTATGTGTAAGATGGTTTCACCCTGAATTTCAAAAGAATGTTCTCTTTTCAATTTCTTCAACTTTGGGTTAACTTTACTTTCAACTTTTACAAATGGTACATATTCCCCTGAGCTGCAGGATGGGGACAGAGAGCAGAATGAAGCCACTACAATGAAAAGTGATGACCTCTTACATCATTTAAATACACACAATTCTATGGGGCCAGATGGGCTCCACCCAAGGGCACAGAGGGAGCTGGTGGAAGTGTTCACAAAAGCACTTTCAGTCATTTGTCAGCAGTCTGGTTAACCATGGAGGTCCCAGTTGACTGCAGGTCAGCAAAGGAGATGCTCATCTACAATAAAGTTTGGAGAGGATCTGGGGAACTACAGGCCTGTGAGCCTGACCTTGGTGCCAGGGAAGGACATGGAGCAGATTGTCTTGAGTGTGATTACAGAGTACATACAGGGCAAACAGGGATCAGGCTCAGCCAGAATGGGTTTGGGAAAGGCAGCTGGTGCTTGACCAACCTGATCTCCTTTTATGACAGGGTGACCCATTTAGGGGATGAGGGAAAGGCTGTGGGTGCTGTCTGCCTGGACTTCTGTAAAGCCTTTGGCATTAGGGAACTGATTGTCCCCCTGGACTTGGTCCTTGTGAGGCTGCACCTCAAATCCTGTGTTCAGTTTTGAGCCTCTCACTACAAGAAAGACATTTTGGTGTTCAGATAAGTGCAGCAGAGCTGGTCTGGAGCACAGGTATTTTGAGGAGCAGCTGAGGGGGCTGAAGTTGTTTAACCTGGAGAAAAGGAGGCTCAGCAAAGACACTCACTAAAAGACATTCTCTAAAACTGCCTAAATGGAGGTTGTGGGGAGATGTGGGTGAGCCTCTTCTCCCACGTACCAAGTGACAGGATGGGAGGAAATGGCCTCAAGTTGCACTGGGGTATGTTTTGATGGGATGCTAAGAAAAATTTCTGTACTGAAATTATTGTCAAGCATTGGAACATGTTGCCAGGGAAGTGTTGAGTCATTATCCTTGCAAGTATTTAAAAGCCATGCAGATGTGGCACTTAGGGACGTGGTTTCATGGTGGACTTGGCAGTGCTGGGTTAATGGTGAGACTCGAGGATCTTAAGGGTCTTTTCCTACCTAAAGGTTTCTATGATTCTGTAGTATTTCTAGATTGATAGAGCAATTGTTACTTCGGTGCATTTTCTTTTTAATTCCATAATCTTTCAAGTATAAAATTACAACAACACCAGCAAGAACAGATCCTACAAGAATGTAAGTAACAAGCAGTGACATATATGCATTACAATCTATGAATTTTCCTGCTAAGCAACAATGGATATCATATGAAAGCAGCATGTGTAGTGCTATTTAGTGGAATTCTTTCCTGAGACTGCACAACAGGTTTTTGGAATTCCTTTGAAAATTCTGAAACTTGACAAGGGATAAGTAGCTCTCAATCTCAATACTTGGTTTGAGAGGAGAGAAAAATTAGATTGTTTTTCCCTCTCTCACAGCACTTGTGTCCAGGGAAGACTGAATTGCATTGGAGCACCAAATCCAACTCCAGGTAAAAATAATCTTCCACTTAACTTTTTTTCTCTTTATCAGGTCTTGTAGAGAATAGTTCACAGAATTGATTCTTCTTAATGGATTTTTAATGGAAGCATTTCTCACTTAATCATAGTGCTACAGTTATCATAAAAGGCAGGAGTGGACTAGATTAATCATAAAACCTCTTTTTATATAAAGACTTTTTTTTCTGAATTATTTTGTGGGGAATTTTTTTGGTAATCCAGTGCTCTGAAGTGAATCTGCTCAGCACATTGAATAGCACAGCAATCTCTTCTAACTGAAATAGGGAATTTCCAAAGAACTTACAGATGGTTTAAATGGCTACAGCTGTGGAATAAGCCCTGTGCCACTTCTTTCCTTCCTCTAGTCTGTGAATCCCCCATGGTCTACTTTGATTGTAAAAACAACACAGCAGGAACAATTGGAGCAGAATGTCAAAAAAGCTGCCAGACTCTGGATATGCAGTGTGTAAGTATGTCATGGCCCAATGACGTGGTGTTTCCAGGTTTTGTCTGTGTTCTGGCTGCTAAAGTAATTATCTATGGGATCTACTCCAAATCTACAACACAGATACATTATTCTTGTAGCAAAAGCCCTAAAATGATGCTATGAAGCATTAACAATGGAACACTTGGATCAAAATATAATAAGTAATATCCAAATTAATTCTTAAGATAAGTGTCTACCTTTCTTCAGCTACTGCAGGTAACAGTAACTAGTAGTGAAAAATTTAGGGCTCTACCACTTACTTGCCTTCTGTAGGAAAGGCTAAGAATTGGCTAGGAGAAATTATTCTTTCTCATACCATGCTGCAGTTATGAACTTCTTGCACATCTAATTATGTTACTCCACTTAAGTTCTTGGTAGCCACATGCCATTTCATGAGTAATTCCATATGAGATAAATACATTTCAATATAACTCAGTCAAACTGGAAAAAAATATTACTTATATATATACTTGTATATATTACTTGTATATAATATTTTCCTCTAACAGATTTATATTCTATTTAATCTATGGCTAATAACTTCTTTTTGTTCCATTATCCTTTAATTACTTCATAGTTCTCTCCTATTTAAGCTGGGCAAAAAAAAGACCATATAAGGCATCTTTTATGAGAATTTAATCTTCCTTTTTCTAATGTGATCATTTCACTCTAAAATGATGTTTTTCACTTCTCTTTTCCAGTATAGCTCACAATGTACATCTGGCTGCGTGTGCCCAGATGGGCTTGTGTTAGATGGGAATGGTGGCTGTATTCCTGAAGAGCAATGTCCATGTATTCACAACGAAGCCATGTATCAGCCTGGGGAAAAGATCGACTTTGACTGTAACACCTGGTAAGTATATCTGCAGAAGTAGCATTCCTGGTTCTATCATTTGCCTTTCTAAAGGCCTTATATAGTACAAGAGCAAGGAAAGATTTGGATTGCAAATTTAATCAGCTGATGGAGTTTAGATCTTTTAGTTTTGGATTACACAGTATGAGAAGGTTGCCTTCTGTCTCTGTCACATGGCCAAAGCACAGAATGGGAGGAAACCTTTAGGACTACAGAGTTCATTAAGTATCTTGTTTTGCAGTTTAGGTACTCAGGTAGCAGAAGAAAACTTTTATTTAATTCTTACATGAAAAATGTAAAAGGCTATTTTATTTCCAGAATCAATATAGCATTTGGCAGGGACGGGTTGCCAAACAAATACTGATTGTTCAGATATGTCTACACAAAAAAAATGAGTTGTTTTATTATTAAAATATTACATTCTTTTTTTTTTTTTTCCTAGTGTATGCAAGAATAGGAAGTGGGAATGTACCAAAGATCAGTGTCTGGGCACTTGTGCTGTTTATGGAGATGGTCATTATAACACCTTTGATGACAAAAGGTTCAGCTTCAATGGAAACTGTGAATACACACTAGTCCAGGTACTGATAGTTAGCAGTTGCAAATGAGAGGTAATCTTGATCGTATCTGTAAAAATAACAAATTTTTAAATGTTATTCTTTGTCCAGGACCACTGTGGGAAAAGTGGCACAGTCAATGGGACCTTCAGGGTTGTCACTGAAAATATTCCCTGTGGCAACACTGGGACAACTTGCTCAAAATCTATCAAAGTTTTCTTAGAGGTAAGAAGGTTTTGCATATTGACCAGTTTTGTTTTGTACCTGCTAAGGCTTAGGAGAAGCCTAGATTTCTATTGCTTCAAAGAATTTGGAAAATAATTTAAAAATCAATTCAACTATTCAATTAGGTTTACATCAGATTCAAGTGAAATATTTGGTAGACTTCCTACCTATGTTTTGCACTTCCTACACTATCTTGAATCATCCTTGAGAAAAGTAAAGGTCTAAAGGCAGAAATTCAGCCTAATATGTCAGAAGATTCTTTTATTGTATGCAATATAGTTCCTCCATGACAGTCAAAAGACACTTTTTGACCTACACCATTTAAAATGTCTGTCACCACACTTCCGGGAACCTGAGTTTTGAACTACATTGCTTTGATTTATGGCATTTTTATTATTTGTTTTCATGATACAAACTATTAATAGTAGCCTTAAAAGCAGAAAACCATGTTTGAGAGCACAGCTGCAGCTACTGAGCTCATTTCTCCTCACCTTGTCCTCCTGTTTCAGAGCTATGAGCTGATCCTTGGTGAAGAGCGTGTCAGCGTGGTGAGGAGAGGACAGAATGACGAGGTGCCATACACGGTTCGCTCCATGGGAATGTACTTGGTGATTGAGACCAAAAGTGGCCTGATCCTCATGTGGGACAAGAAAACTAGCATCTTCATCAAGCTCAGCCCTGGCTTCAAGGTGAGGAACTTCAATGGCAATTTACTGGCCAGGTTTGACTGGGTGTGAATCTTGTTGAGACCCTGCCAGGATCCCAAACAGTGATGTCTCTAGCATTCCTGCAGTTCATCCCATGGTGCCTTCCATTCCTTTGGTACCTCAGGAAGCCATGACATCATCCTGCTGCCATTCTGAGCTTGGAAGGCAGCTTCCAGTGTCTACTTGGCCTGACAGAACTTGAGTTGGCAAAACGCAGTTTTGGACTTGACTTTGTTGAAATTATAAACGGAACCTTGTTAAAGGTTATCAGACTTATGAAAGTTACATAACTATACGTGTATAAATCAACTGAATAGGCTTGATCTTGAAAATAATCCATTGTTTCCTGTTCTCATTGACACACAAATTATCACACTTCAAGAACAAGGAAGTGTATTATGAGTGAAAGCCTCTTATATGCCAGCAAGTATTTGTCAAGCATATAACTGCACAGATGAAAAGGAAAATGAATTCCAATTTTCATACTCCTTCTCTTAGCTTATGATACATAAGCACTAAAAACTGAAGTAAATACGGAATTTGCTATCTTACTGCATGCCACAATGACATTTAAATTAGGTATTAAAACTAAGCATAATTTAGAGCTACATATACCAACTTCTTTCAATACCATAAGTTCTTTTCCTGCCTCACTCACTGGAATTTTATAAAAATAGTAGTAATATGGAAAGTATGCACCTCAGTTTCATAGAGAAAGCATGTATTGCAGCCTCTCACTGTTGTACAGATCCATACATTCAGAATGAGGGATATTTCTGGATGCACAAGGAAAATGTAATTTCTTTATATACCTGTGATCAGACTAAATGGTAAAGACGCAATAGATTAGGTGGCTGGACTGGTAATACTTAATAGTTAGAAGGCTGTTTTTCTTATATGTATAGCTATTGTATAAAGCAAGGCTTAAATGAAAAGCCTAATCAGCTGTGAGTCCTCATTTCCTTGTTAAAAATATACTTCAAACACAGACAGTTACAATGACAAAGATGGTTTTACTGTTTGTATTTATAGGAAAAGAGTTAAGAAGAGTATCCTTGTAGCCTTAGTGGTCATATTCTGTTCCTCCATTCTAGAGTATGAAGATGTTCAGGACTGATAGAATGGAATACTACCATTCTAAGAGCTGAATTTCAAGTATTCTTTCAGTCTCAGATTTTGTTTCAAGTTTTCTCACATCCATTACTCTTTTGTTTGCTTCCTTTTGCAGGGCCAGGTCTGTGGTCTCTGTGGAAATTATGACGGCAACAGCGTCAATGACTTTACTACAAGGAGTCAGTCTGTAGTAGAGAATGTCCTAGAGTTTGGAAACAGCTGGAAAGTGTCCTCTACATGCCCTGATGCTTTCAGTGTCAAGGACCCATGTTCTACCAACCCGTATCGGAAGTCCTGGTCAGAGAAGCAGTGTAGCATCATCAACAGCAACGTCTTTGCTGCCTGTCACTCTCAGGTATTACCAGGGCAGAAGTTTACTGTGTGAAAACTAAGTCTGTGGGTTGGTGAAGATGCTATTCTCATAGGTTTTAACATGCATGCCTCATTTCTTAACATGTTTCACTTCAAATGGTGCCAGGAAAACTCCAGTCTGAATTGCCCTCAATGGGACAGATTAATAGTCCCTACTTGTAAGAAATAAAAAGACAATTACAAAAGAATAATAATTTCATAATTACTGTGTATTTCCTTGCAGCCTGACCTGAATAAAAATTCTCATCTACCAGGTAGAGAAGACAAGCTCAGTAAAATAATAACATAGGAATGAAGTATCAGCATAGCCTTTACCTGACACTAAGTACAGAACAAATGTTGTCAGCTAACTGTGCAGTTGCCTAATGTTTTTTTTTGAAAATTAATCTAATCTTACACCAGGATACAAGTCTGGGTTTCTAAAAATCTGGCAATACATGATTTGGATGCATCATTTGGCATCATCTCAGTCTTATAAAAGAAAAATAAATTACCAATGTTGGGCTTTCCTCTGGGATGCTACAATTGTAAGAAAACTACTCTAGCGAAGGTAAGAAATAATTTAGAAGGCAGGATGCAGAGTATTATATTTCTGTTTATTAACAGGTTGAACCAGCAAAATATTACCAAGCATGTGTGACGGATGCTTGTGCCTGTGACACTGGAGGAGACTGTGATTGCTTTTGTACAGCAGTAGCTGCCTATGCTCAAGCATGCAGTGAAGTTGGTGTATGTGTAGCCTGGAGAAGCCCAACAATTTGTCGTAAGTTTTATGTCATAAACACTTCTGAAAGTGCAGCATCTTACATATGTGCATTAACATCTCACTGTGTAGATTTTTTATGCTTAAGCTATTTGCCTTTTTTTTCCCCCCCTGAATATGTTCAACTTTCTGTTTCTCCTCAGCACTGTTCTGTGATTACTACAATCAGCAAGGAGAATGTGAATGGCACTATAAGCCTTGTGGTGCTTCCTGTATGAAGACCTGTAAGAACCCAAGTGGAAAATGCCTCAATGACCTGCCAGGTTTAGAAGGTAAAAATAGCTGCAGGTACCTTCTAGTGGGTACATATTCTTATATTTTCAATTGTCTTTAATGAAGTGTATTTCCTCCATCAGCTGTATTTGCACAATTCAATTTTTTCTAATATCATTACATCCACATTAATGGAGGCAGAGTATGGAAACTGGAGTGAGAAAATCTCTAGGACTAAGTTCTTATAGATGGGCTCTGCTGATGCTACTAACTCTGCATTACTTCCTAGAGCTATTGTAAAACATAAAGCAAAAACATTATGACTATTAAAAACAAGACCTGCAAATGCATTGGGCACAAATAAAGCCCTTGCTGACTATATCTCATTCTTACCTTTTCTACCTTCAGGCTGCTACCCTAACTGCCCACCAGACAAGCCATATTTTCATGAAGATCAGATGAAGTGTGTTAGTCTCTGTGACTGTTATGATGATGAAAATGGAAAGATATATAAACGGGATGAATGTAATATATGGTAAGACAACATACCAATGTCATCATATACAAGGAAAAAAAGACCAAAACTCCAGGGGGAAGTTGTGTGTTCCTGTTACATGCAGGATCAGTTCAAAATACCTGCAAAAAAATAATGCCTTACGATCTAATGCCAGTTTTCCTACTACATAAATAAGATTTTATGTGATTTTATGTTCCATTGAATTTGCTCCTGATTATATTGTAAATCCTCAGCATAAAGATACATGAAGAACAAGAAATCCTTTATGACTAGGCTATCTCTGTTTCACATTCCTGTGGCAGGAAAAATGTTGTGTCATCAGTAAAGATATTAATTAGTGGCCTTCTTTCAAGTATTTTATTACATACTTGCATCATTTGAGCATTTAGACTCACCCTTTTAGCCTTTTATTTAGTCCATAAACATTGCAAATGCAAAGAAGGTGATATGAAGGGAAAAAGGAAAGTCTTCCTATAGAGTTCTACTTGTAACTTTGCATAATATTTAACTTCACTTCTATTTGTAAGTTTGAGTTTAATATGAAGGAAGAGTTGGAAAATAAAGGCCAAAAAGGAGAACACTCTAGGAATAAACACAAAGTGCCTTGCCTTTTGATGCCAGTATCCATCAGAAAGATGACCAATAAAATTACATCACAATCACAACATATATGGGTTTTTATGCTTTCTGTTTCAGTGAGTGCACATCAGAAGGTTTACAGTGCAAGTTCGATGATAAAGGTAAGAGAGTGAAGAAAAATTATTTAGAACAAGAAATACTGGATAATATCTTTTCATAGGTGCCTGAACTGACAATAAACTTCTTCTAAATTACAGCCTGCAACTGCATTTATGAAGGGAATAGCTATAAATATGGTGAACTCATCTACAACACCACAGATGGAACTGGATGGTGTATCAGTGCAACATGTGATGCCAATGGAACAATAAGCAGAGACATCTTTAAATGTGGCATTTTTACAACAACCCCATTTACATTTTCCACAAGTCAGCCCACAACTACTACTGCAGGTATGCATTAATAATCTTTAAAATAACTCTAAAATCTCTGTAAGTGACAAAAAATTACCTGAAAGGTAGGACCTCTTCATTGGTTAATGGTATATAATTTTACTCGAAAGTGTTGACTTCTACTGGAGCCACCAATTCACCTGGCAACTTTAGTTGAAAAGGCAGATCATAGTTAAGGATGTAGAAATGAATACAGCATTTATTATAAACTCAGTTTTCTCTGTTTCACCATGGTGTTCCCGGGGGAAAAATTAATAGACTTTATTAATCGTTGCATCCTGGAGAATCTTCTCATTTCTTTGCAAAAAAAACCCAGCAGTTCTAGACTAGCTTCTGAAAACATGAAAGACAGTTGCTGCCATTTCTTAAATTACTAAGCATGTAAGCACAAACTGAAGATAAGACATTTAGTTTGAGGGAATGTTTAAACTATTTAAAACCATTCTTTAGAACTTTTCCTAATTGTGTTTAATACTCAAACCAACAGTTTCCTTCTACTTCTGGGGTACATTGCTATATTATTCCTGCAGTTAATTAATTACAGCAACCAAATTCTGAGTAATTGTGAGAAATATAGCCACAAAATTATAGTACAGCAAGAACTAAAGATTCAAATTCAAGTCTTCTATTAAGTAACATTCATATTGAGAAAGTCATATCTATTCCACATGGTTATCTTCATAATGCCAGGAATATGAAGTCTTATTAACATATATAGAATATACCTATTAGATTATATATTTCATATATAGTATATGTGTATTCTCTATTATAATGAACTACATATAAAATACATATACGTTAAGTATATATTTTATATTTATAAATATGTTACATGTAATAATACTGAACTAAGTAGAAAAGTCATTAACTGGTAAAAATATTTTAAAGTCTGCATGGTTATGCAGTTAAGCGTAAATACAGAGATAACACCAAGGAGAACAAAACCTTCTCTACTTATACCTTAGCATTGGGATATCTATTATCTAAGCACTGACATACTGTCAAAGGATATCAGAATACTTGTATTTAGCTACAAATCTTTAATAGCTATCGAAGAAAGTACCTCTGCAATAATTATAATACAGGCAAAAGGTCAAAACTTACTTTAGAAATTAAATTGAGACTGCCAAAGCAAGTTCATTAAAATTAAAATACTACACAATATAAAAATGTTATTTACAACAAAATAAGGTATGGAAGATGAATAATTTTTTTCTGGAACTCTCTTTAATAAGAACAAACAAGACTTATGTTTCCTCCTTTGAATTACAGAAATGACAACAGCAGTGCCAGTGACAACTGTATGTGTGAAAAATATCTGTGTGTGGTCAGAATGGTTTGATTCCACTCAGCCTGAAAACAAAGAAGACAGTGGAGATTATGAAACATTTCAAAATCTCAGGGATAAAGGATACAGCGTGTGTATAAACCCAAGTGAAGTTCAATGCAGAGCCAAAGAATACCCAGATACTGAAATTAGCAAACTTAACCAAACAATTGAGTGTAGTCAAAGCAGAGGATTAATATGCAATAACCAGGACCAAGAATCTAAGCAGTGCTATAATTATGAAATCAGAATATCATGCTGCAGATACATACCATGTTCAGAAGTACAAACTACAACACCAACAACCACAAGAGAATTCATGACTACTGCTGTAGAATCAACACCATTTACAGTGCAGACAACGATAAAACCAACAACACAAAAACAAGAAAGTGAAGTAACTACAACATCAAGAGAAAGAAATACTCCTCTGACCGAAACCTCAGTAACAGCAACGACATCACAAGTCTCAACAACAGGTTACCAAATCACAACTACTAGAGCAGAAACCTCCACTGCAGTAACCCAAGGCCCATCATCACCCAGTACCATCTCCACTCTCCCAGAATCCACACTAGAAACCACTCCTGGCACCACGATAATCTCCAGAACTACTGCCCTGCCAACACAAGGCACAACTGTCACTACACCCACACCAGGACTGCCTACCCAAGCTACCACCATGGGCAGCACTTCCACAACCACCACAGAAAGCACCACTACATCTGCAGAAGAAACTCATCCAACTGTATTATCCACTGTTGCAATTCAAACAACATCCACAATTACTGCTTCCACCCAGGAAATAAAAATTAAAACCACCACTGGCAACGCAGCTGTCCCCAGCACAACAGCCCCAGGCTCAGAGGGCACAACCATCATTGCTACAACCACCAGCACCTCTCCACCTCAGACTGAAGGTACAACCACCGTCACTCCATCCACAAAAACAGTGCCCACCCCAGCCACAAG